CTGTACAATGGGTGGACAAACAAACACGTAATTGTAACCAGACAAGTTAGACGCACAGGAACAAAGGGGTTGAGGGCCCTGTTCAATGAGCTTGTGAAGCTTGGTGGAGCCGAGTCTATCAAGGCCACAATTTAAAAAGCTTTCCAAATTATTTATTTATTTTATTTATTTATGAAAAATTTTATCAGGAAAGATACATTGAGATTTCTTTCGTTGTCAAGTATGTCCAGATGATTCATTACTGTTAGAAACGCCTTCTAAATTATTTCTCTGCAGAAGAGACCACTAAAATTCATGGAAATTTTTGTAGATAAAATATTTGGAAAGCTTTTCTAACAGTAGAAACATAGAATGTGATGGCAGATAAGAACCATTTGGCCCATCTAGTCTGCCCAATTTTCTAAATACTTTCTTTAGTCCGTGGCCTTATCTTATAGTTAGGATTGCCTTATGCCTATCCCATGCATGCTTAAACTCCTTTACTGTGTTAACCTCTACCACTTCAGCTGGAAGGCTAGTCCATGCATCCACTATCCTCTCAGTAAAGTAATACTTCCTGATATGTTTAAACCTTTGCCCCTCTAATTTAAGACTATGTCCTCTTGTTGTGGTAGTTTTTCTTCTTTTAAATATAGTCTCCTCCTTTACTGTGTTGATTCCCTTTATATATTTAAATGTTTCTATCATATCCCCCCTGTCTCGTCTTTCCTCCAATCTATACATGTTAAGATCCTTTAACCTTTCCTGGTAAGTTTTATCCTGCAATCCATGAACCAGTTTAGTAGCCCTTCTCTGAACTCTCTAAGGTATCAATATCCTTCTGAAGATACGGTCTCCAGTACTGTGTACAATACTCCAAGTGAAGTCTCACCAGTGTTCTGTACAATGGCATGAGCACTTCCCTCTTTCTACTGCTAATACCTCTCCCTATACAACCAAGCATTCTGCTAGCATTTCCTGCTGCTCTATTACATTGTCTGCCTACCTTTAAAGGACCACTCTAGGCACCCAGACCACTTCAGCTTAATGAAGTGGTCTGAGTGCCAGGTCCCTCTAGGATTAACCCATTTTTTTAATAAACATAGCAGTTTCTCTGAAACTGCTATGTTTATAAATGGGTTAATCCAGCCTCTAAAGCCTCTAGTGGCTGTCTCATTGATAGCCGCTAGAGGCGTTTGCGTGCTTCTCACTGTGAAAATCACAGTGAAAGACGCCAGCGTCCATAGGAAAGCATTATGAAGGCTTTCCTATGAGACCGGCTGAATGCGCGCGCAGCTCCTGCCGCGCATGCGCATTCAGCCGAAGAGGAGGATCGGAGGAGGAGAGGAGGAGGAGAGTTCCCCGCCCGGCGCTGGAAAAAAGGTAAGATTTAACCCTTTCATCTCCCCAGAGCCCGGCGGGAGGGGGTCCCTGAGGGTGGGGGCACCCTCAGGGCACTATAGTGCGAGGAAAACGAGTATGTTTTCCTGGCACTATAGTGATCCTTTAAGGCATCAGAAATAATCACCCCTAAAGCCCTTTATTCAGGTGTTGAGGTTAGGACTCTATCAAATATTCTGTACTCTGCCCTTGGGTTTTTATGTCCAAGATGCATTATCTTGCACTTATCCACATTAAATGTCAGTTGCCACAACTCTGACCATTTTTCTAGTTTACCTAAATCATTTGCCATTTGGCTTATCCCTCCTGGAACATCAACCCTGTTACATATCTTAGTATCATCAGCAAAAAGACATACTTTACCATCAAGACATTCTGCAATATCACTAATAAAATCATTAAAGAGAATGGGTCCAAGTACAGATCCCTGAGGTACCCCATTGGTGACAAGTCCATGCTTTGAATATACTCCATTGACTACAACCCTCTGTTGCCTGTCACTCAGTCACTGCCTTACCCATTCAACAATATTGGAATCCAAACGTAAAGATTGCAGTTTATTGATAAGCCTTGTATGTGCAACAGTGTCAAAAGCCTTACTGAAATCTGCATTGAATCATTTGTATTGAATCATTTGGAAAGCTTATTAAATCAAGGCCTATGTCAGAGAAACCATGGTAACTGAAAAGTTCTTTCTGTAAAAATTATTTCGGAAAATACATAATATTAATACTTTTGTTAACAATGTGTTTGTTATGGTTTTTCATGTGGCAGGCCCAAGAACTCATAGTATACTTAGTGTCAACATGCTAAAAATTATTAGAGCAATGTTAACCATTGCTGCCTACCTCACCCAGTTGTTAGAATGCAGTCATGATGTTTTACCTACAAAGGCTGTTTTAGAGGGTAAGGGGGGGAATTGGCTGTCATTTACAAATTTAATTAAACCCAACACATTTGACCCCTTTATTTTGTCTTATGATGAAAGCCAGCTCTGCAGAAAATGGGTAGGTACATGTGGTTTTATGGGATACCTTTTTGATTTGGCATTGCATAATTTGCTTAGCATGAGCCAGACACAATCGGAAAGAAGCCTAGATTGAATTAAGAAAACAATGATAATGTATTAGATTCTTTAGTCTCACTTTTGAAATTAGAATTTATGCTGCTAATTGTCTAGTTAGGGTTTAGTAGGCAATATTAGATCTACATGCATTCACATACAAAGGATTATTCACTAAAGAAAGAATAGCCGGGAATTCAAAGTGAATTTAAAATTTAAGCCCAAAATAGCCAAATTGAAAACAGAGTTGCATGGATAATTTTTCTAATTTGGCTATTTGGCTTAAATTTTAAAATTCCCTTTGAATTCTCTTTGAATTATTCATGTAAATGTTACTAGTTTTTGCTTTATCTTATTTAACCCCTTACCGACCGCAGACGAAAGTTTTCTGTCAACCTTGTCCTTCAGTTAAGGACCGTTGACGGAAAATTTCCGTCATTTACTAAAGTTAACACCATATCGCGGCGATCGCGGGGTTAACGGTGCTCCGGTCTGCCTCTGTATTAGAGGCAGACTGGGAGCACCCGATCAGGCTGCCCCTGCAGCAGTGCTCGCTCTGACAGGCTGTCTGAGCGAGCACATGTGCTGTATATACTTACCTTCCGCCTCCCTGCACTTCCAGGTTCTGTGTAAAGTGCAGGGAGACTGATCAGTGCTGCTGATCTTCTCCCCGTGTAAAAAAAATAAAAATAAAGTTAAATCTCACCCCCCCCCTTCCCCTGCTTTAATAAAATTAACCCCTTCCCTGCCAATTGATCACTGAATACAGTGATCAATTGGCAGGGTATACATTTGAAAGTCATCTGATATTTTTTTTAACCCCTGAGGGTTAATTATTATTTCTTTTAACCCTCAGGGGTTAAATTTATTTTCTTAATTAATTTAAATATTAAAAAATTATATATTTAGCTAGCTGGGATGGGTGGAAGTTAGTGGGGAATTGGGGAATTTGGTGTTAGGCTAACTAGGGGTTAACGTTAAAAAAAGTTTTAATATAAGCTTTAAAAAGGTTAAAAAAAGTTTTAGTAATGTTTAAGTAAAAAAAAAAAAAATACCACCCCCCTTTACCCAGTCTAAATAAAAATTAACCCCTTCCCTGCCAGTTGATCACTGCCTACAGTGATCAAAATACAGATCACAGAATTATACTGTAATCTAATTTCTTTTAACCCCTGAGGATTAACTTTTATTTATTTTTTAACTCTCAGGGGTTCAATTAAATTAATTAATTAATTTAAATATTTTATAATTATATATATTTTGCTAGCTGGAGTGTGTGGGAGTTCTGGGAGAGGGGGGAATTTACTGTTAGTGCTGCTTACTGCTAGTTAGGGGTTAACGGTAAAAGAAAAGTTTAGAAAAAATTTAAAAGTGTAAAAAAGTTAAGAAAGTGTAAAACATTTAATAAGTAAAACAAAACGGGTTTTACAAAGTAAAAAAAGTTTTACAAAGTAAAAAAATACATTAAAAATGCTCATTATCACTACACTTGGTACAAGCTAGCGGAAAAATGATCCCACGCTAAGGTTCAAAATATGCCTTTTGAATTGCCCTGGGATGTCTTCTTTAAGAAATGGTATGCCTTTATGGGGTAATTGGATTATATAGCCTTGTAAAATACTCTATAATGGGACATGGACACAGCGTAAAAATTCAAAGTTTGAAAAAAACTGGAATGGCTGTGTCTCAAATGTGCCCCTTCAATGTTCACATATACCTGGCAAAGGTACATACGGGGGTATTGCTGTACTCAGCCGACATAGCTGAGCAACATATGAAGTAGTATACAGTCGTAGTACACATAAGATTTGCAAAATATACTGCCCAAACTCACTTTGTGTGTAAAAAAGGCAGAAAAAATGCTTATTACCACTTGGTACAAGCCAGCGGAAAAATTATCCCACGCTAAGGTTCAAAATATTCCTTTTGAAATACCCTGGAATGTGTTCTTTAAGAAATGGTATGTCTTTATGGTGTAGTTGTAATAAGTAGCCTGCTCAAGTGCTCCAAAGTGGGACATGGACGCATCAAAACCCTCCATGAAAATTCAAACTTAAATAACCTTAACTTGTCATGTCTCTTTTACAAAATGTAACCGTATGTAAAATATGCCCAAAATTATTTTTTACCACATACTTTGGCATATATTGGTGAACAAATGGGGGCATGTTAAGGCACAATATACAACATATGAGATACCCTGGATTGTCTACTTTTACAAATGGTATGCCTTTGTGGGGTTTTTTTGAACAGTCAAACTGCTATAATACCCCAAATTGAAGCATAGGCCCATTAAATCCGCCTCACAAAATTCTACTGTAAATGTTGAAACGGACAGGTCTCCTATATGGCACTGTAGCTTCACAAAATAGTGTCAAAGACATACAATGGGGGTACTGTTGTACTCAGCAGATGTAACTGAACACAAAATAAAACTTTGTACAGGAATAGCACACACCAACTTTACAAAATACACATGAGAAGTTCTTTGTTATAAGTTTGTGTGCCAAAAACCCCCAAAAACTAAATTTTACTCCAATATTTAGCAGAAATTGGTGGTGAAATGGCTACGTAGAAAGAGTCAAAACAACCTTAGGACAATAGCCTGTGATGTCTACTTTATATAAATATATACTTTTGTGTGGAAATTTTGTTTTCTTTTATGGCTATTAAGCTTACAAGACAAACATACCAAATTCTAAAATCGCTCCACATTAAAAGTTTATTTTACTCCTTGTGCTTTGTGACCTGTAACTACCAAACAAAACTTAAAATCCCAGACACATTATATATTCTGTAAATCAGAACAACTAAATGAATTTATTTTGAATTACTTTCTTTAACCTGCACTAATTAGGCACACATTATTATTGCAAAAACTGTAAAAAAAAAACACAAAATTTCTAAATAAGCATTATATATATGTTACATCAAATTAAAGCCCTTTCTGTCCTTTAAAAAACAGTATATAATATGTGTTGGTGCAATAAACGAGAGAGATGCAAATTGCAGTTGAACACATACTGCAAGAAAATGCAAAAATTGCTTGTGTCATTAAGCGTAAGACAAGCTTCTGAAGCTGTGTCCTTAAGGGGTTAAGGCGTATCAGATCATAGTACAAAACAACTTTGTATCTATAAGTTACAACATACCGATTAAGCTGAAAGCAATGCAAACAGATAGGAGAATAAAGTTTCACTGCTATTACAGCTATGTTCTGTGGATTAAACGTTCTGCCAAGTTTAAAGAGATTGGACGTGCCCAGTCTATTGTCCATATTTAGCGCATGTATAGAACATGTGAGTCAGGATCTAGCAAAAAAATGTAACAGTGAGTCACCATATTATTTGTGTGTTTATACACAAGCACATGTTTGGAAACTTGTTTATGGCATCAACTATAAGCCCACTCAGTTTATCCCCATGAAGAAATGCAAATAGCATTTTCAATCTGTTTCTGTCTCGTTGCCCACTGCAAAGAGCCCTGGTTTATTTTAAAGCATATGTAACACCTTTACCTCACTAAAATCCTGAAAGGTTTTTTTTTTTTTTTTTTTTTTAATAATAAGGAGTTGAATCTATTCTGGCTGATTTAACACATAAAAGTAAAAGACAGCCCTGCGTACTATTTAAAGATAGTTGGGATGTTGGGATGTATCACTATTTTTATTGACAATACAGCTATTAAGATCAGAGGACCGACATGCCCTGGTCCATCTATTACTGATCTAGGGGACTTTGGGATCCAACAACTCACTGGTGTTTTTAACCCCATAAGGACGCATGACGGTTCAGGACCGTCCTCAGCATTTTTGCGTTGCCGACCGAGGACAGTCCTGAACCTTCCTAACGGAAAACGGGCGGCGGGAGCGATCAGAGATCGCTTCCGCCGAAATCCCGTTGTTACTATCTGCCCGGCATCCCAGGCAGATAGTAACAGCCAATTACGGCGTGTGAGCGATCCGCGATCGCTCACAATTGGCTGGTGTCAAAGTGGGTGTTACAAACACTCACTTTGACACTGATCTCTGCCTCTCTCCTCTCTGTAGCGTTTTGTGAGAGGAGAGAGACAGAGATCCTGATAGTTTGTTGCAGCAGCTGTTCCTGTGAAAATTAAAAAGTATCTGCAGTTAATAAAAATCCTATTTTAACCCCTTCCCTGCCAGATCTGTTACAGACAGTGCATTTTTACTGTCTGTATTTTTTTTTTTGCCCTTAAGGGTTAACTTTATTTTAAAAAATCTGTGTCTTAGACTGTCTTAGACTGTCTTAGACTGTCTTAGACTGTCTTAGACTGTCGTAGTCTGTTTTAGTCTGTTTTAGTCTGTTTTAGTCTGTCGTAGTCTGTTTTAGTCTGTCATAGTCTGTCATAGCCTGTCGTAGTCAGTCAGTTTCCTTCCCCCAAATCTCCATTAGATTCTTCTAACAGGAGTTAGTTTAGGGATTACTGTTTTAGTCTGTTTTAGTCTGTTTTAGTGTTTAAAAAAAAAAAAAAAAAATATTGTGTTTAGTATTTTGTTAGTTTAGTCTGTTGGTGTGAAACATGCAGCGCATGTACAGCTTGGAGGAGGCATATGCCTTCTTGGCGTCAGACTCTGACGCCACTGACACTGCGTCCGATTTTGACCCAGGTCAGTTTAGCGGCACGTCTAGTGACATGTCATCTGTGAGTGAGCCAGCTGCTAAAAGAAGCTGTGCTTCCCCTGCTACGCTGAATGTGGAGGAGGACTGGGTACCTCCACAGTTAGCTGAGCCCAACATCCCCCCTTTTAGTGCCAACGCAGGCATTAATGTGAATGTGGTTGACTTCTCCCTTATACAATATATGGAGTTATTTTTAGGGGATACCATCTGGGAGGAGATTGCTTCCCAGACTAATTTATACGCTAGCCAATTTATTGAGACCAATCCAGGTAGCTATACAGTCAGGGAGCATGCTTGGCATCCCACAGATGTCCCTGAACTTAAAACATTCTGGGCTCTTACCATGCTCATGGGGATAATAAAAAAGCCATCAATCCGGTCTTACTGGAGCACCAACCCAATTTGTTCGACTCCTATATTCTCCCAAACAATGCCTAGACCAAGATATGAGCTGCTGCTCAGATACTTACATTTTAACGACAATACGCTCTGTCACCCCAGAGATCACCCCGAATATGATAGGCTTTATAAAATACGCCCACTGGTAGACCATCTTCAGAACAGATTTTCTGAAGTTTATACTCCCCAACAAACTTTATCCATCGATGAATCCCTTATGAAATACAAAGGGAGATTAGGGTTCAAACAATATATCCCCTCAAAGCGGTCTAGGTATGGCATTAAAGTGTACAAACTTTGCGAGAGCGAAAGTGGCTACACATTTGCCTTTCGTGTATACGAGGGGAAAGATGCTCAACTGAACCCTCCTGGCTGTCCTGACTCTCTGGGGACAACTGGGAAACTTGTTTGGGACCTACTGAACCCTTTGTTCAATAAGGGTTACCCCCTTTATGTGGACAATTTTTACAGCAGTGTCCACTAGTTTACAGACACTGGCCTGCGGCACTGTAAGAAGAAATGCCAAGGATTTTCCCAGACCTCTCATAGAGGCCAAATTAAAAAAAGGGGAATGCAAGGCTGAACTGCTTGCGCTAAAATTTAAGGACAGGAAGGATGTTCACATGATAACAACCATCCATAACGAGGGCATGTCAGACGTCACTGTCCGAGGCAGGGTACAGACAAAACCGGTGTGCATCAGGGCTTATAACAGGCACATGGGGGTGTTGATTTGGCTGATCAGCTGATGCAGCCTTATCTTATCTTAAGAAAGACAAAAGCCTGGTATAAAAAGGTGGCTATCTACCTGTTGCAAGTAGCAACACATAATTCATTTTTACTTTTTAAAAAAATGAATCCAGGAAGAACCACCTATCTCCAATTTCAGCTCAAGCTGATTTCCACAATAATTTATGGAGATGGTCAAGTTCCAACGACAGTGCAAGAGTCGTCTAGACATTTTATTTTTAAGATACCGCCAACACCAAAAAAAAGAAACCCCCAGAAACGTTGCCGGGTCTGTTATAAAAAAGGGAAAAGGACAGACACCCCTTTTCACTGTCCCGATTGCCCTACAAAACCTGGACTGTGTATTGGAGAATGTTTTAAGGTCTACCACACAGAAAATACATTTTTATAATACTTGTTCCTGATTTATTTTTTTTGTTTATTTTGAAAGCAGCAAATTTCTGTTAGTCAGTATCCTTCCCCAAATCTCCAGTTAGATTCTTTTTGCAGGAGTTAGTTTACAGATTGCTGCTAACAGAAGTTTTAGTCTCATTTAGTCTGTTTTTATCAGTTTTAGTCTGTTTTTAGTATAAAATAAAATAAAAATTGTGTGTTAGTAACTCTGTGTTAGCCAGACTCTGACGCCACTGACACTGCGTCCGATTTTGACCCAGGTCAGTTTTCTGACATGTCATCTGTGTGTGAGCTGGCTGCAAAAAGAAGCTGTGCTTTCTCTGCTACGCCGAATGTGGAGGAGGAACAGGTTTCTCCACAGTTAGCTGAGCCCCAAATCACCCCTTTTAGTGCCAACACAGGCATTAATGTCAATGTGGATGACTTCTCCCCTATGCAATATATGGAGCTATTTTTAGGGGATACCATGTGGGAGGAGATTGCTCCCCAGACTAATTTATATGCTACCCAATTTATTGATACCAATCCAGATAGCTATGCAGTCAGGGAGGAGTGTGCTTGGCATCCCACAGATGTCGCTGAACTTAAAAAATTCTGGGCTCTTACAATTCTCATGGGGATTATAAAGAAGCCATCAATTTGCTCTTACTGGAGCACCAACCCAATCTGTTCTAGTCGAGTGTACTCTCAAACCATGTCTAGAACAAGATTTGAGCTGCTGCTGAGATACTTACATTTCAATGACAATACCCTCTGTCACCGCAGAGATCACACCCAATATGATAGGCTTCATAAAATACACCCACTGGTAGACCATCTTCAGCACAAATTTACTGAAGTTTATACTCCTCAAAAAAATGTATCTATTGATGAATCGTTAATGAAATATAAAGGGAGATTAGGATTCAAACAATACATCCTCTCAAAGCGCTTTAGGTATGGCGTAAAATTCTACAAACTGTGCGAGAGCGAAAGTGGCTATACATTTGCCTTTCGTATATATGAGGGGAAAGATGGTCAACTGGACCCTCCTGGCTGTACTGACTCTCTGGGGACAAGCGGGAAACTTGTTTTTGACTTACTGATCCCCTTGTTCAATAAGGGTTACCACCTTTATGTGGACAATTTTTATAGCATTGTCCGTTTGTTTCAAACTCTTTAGGGTTTCTAGATACTGGCCTGTGGCAGTGTGAGAAGATATGCCAAGGATTTCCCCAGACCTTTTATAGAGGCCAAATAAAAAAAAAAAAGTGAATGTAAAGGTCTGCACAAAGCTAAAGTGCTTGCAATAAAATTTAAGGACAGGAAGGATGTTCACATGCTAACAACCATCCATAACGAGGGCATGTCAGACGTCACTGTCCGAGGCAGGGTACAGACAAAACCGGTGTGCATCAGGGCTTATAACAGGCACATGGGGGGTGTTGATTTGGCTGATCAGCTGATGCAGCCATATCTTATCTTAAGAAAGACAAAAGCCTGGTATAAAAAGGTGGCTATCTACCTGATGCAAGTAGCAACACATAATTAATTTTTACTCTTTAAAAAAAAATGAATTCAGAAAGAACCACCTTTCTCCAATTTTAGTTCAAGCTGATTTCCACAATAATTTATGGAGATGGTCAAGTTCCAACAACGGTGCCAAAGGAGTCCAGACATTTTATTTTTAAGATA